TGAAGGTTGCAGAGTTACCGCGTAGGAAGATTCCATTCCGCTTCTTTGATTATTGGATGGATCATTCGGATTTCTTTCCTTTGGTGGCTCAGGTATGGGGTGAAACAGTATTGGGAACCCCTATATTTTGTCTATGTTCGAAATTGAAGAAGTTAAAGCTTGTCTCGAAAAACTTTAATAAGGAGCATTTTTCAGAACTTCCTACGAGAGTTACTCAAGCTCGGACTGATATAGAGCATGTTCAGTGTTTGATTCAGCAATCGCCTTTGGATTCGTCTCTACATAGGGAGGAGGCTCAATTACAAAAGGAACTTTGTGAGTTGAGCAGGGCTGAAGAAGGCTTTTTGAGACAAAAAGCTCGTGTTAAGTGGCTGAATTTAGGAGACCAAAACACTGCTTTCTTCTTCAAGGCTATGAAAAGTCACTATGGGAAGAGTAAGGTGGTTTCTATTTGTAAAGACAATGGTACTAGAGTGGAGGAGCCGCATGAGGTCAGTGAAGTCATTGTTGCGTTCTATCAAAATCTCCTTTGTCAGCAGCCTACTGGTGAGAGTCTAGATATGAACTTGAAGCTCTTCCTAAAAGTATCTCAGCAGTGCAGAATGAAAATCTTGATAGAGATGTGTCATTTGAGGAAATTAAAGAGGTCTTGTTCTCGTTGAAAGACAATAAGGTTCCAGGGCCTGATGGTTTTAATGTAGGTTTCTTCAAGATGACTTGGAATATTGTGGGAAATGATGTGCTATGTGCCATTAAGTCCTTCTTTGACTCGGGAAAGCTATTGAAGCAGGTCAATGCTACTACCATCACATTGGTTCCTAACGTCCCAAATCCTTCTCAGGTAAAGGAATTTAGGCCTATCTTGTGACGCCCCGAACTTAAGTTTCGAGTGTCACGTACAAAACATAATAGCTTCTGCCTTTGGTACATGTAAATACTCTTAAATAGAAGTATTACATGTTAGAAACTTATTTTCAACTTGGTAAAATGTCTCTCATAAATTTTTAATGGCCCGCAAAAGCGCATGTCGACAAGAAATTATACTTTACATATACGGACTCTGCACTGTCACGATTAGTTGGGGCAGCAAGTTCGACTATTTTTATAAAATTCATCCCAACTCTGTTTTCTATGAAATTTATGACATTAGAAAGATATTTTCAAGTATTTTTCTATTTTAAAATATAAAAAATTTCCAAGATCATATAATATGGGCGTTTTACTGAAAACGATGAGGAATTGCACAGAAATTTCAGATTTGACCCTTCAACGTTTAAAAATTCATATCTCAGGCTACAGATATCCAAATTGAGTAATTCTTATGCCCATATTAAGAAAACTCAATGAGGAACGCAGTAATATTTTTAGAGTCTCAAATGGACATTTATGGAGTCAAAAATAACGTGTTGAATTTGACCCAAAAACTGTCCCGTTTCTGCCTTTTTATCATTTGCAAGGGAAAGTAAAAATAAAAAAAGGTCTCTTAACATAACATGATAGATATAATTACATAATTTACTTCCAGTATCATATTACATCATGTCTTATACATGTTTTTATATAATAACAAAAACAAAACATATTGAATGCAGTCAAGCAAAACATACAAAACAGAAACTTCGATGTAAAATAATTTTGTCCTTGATCCATCATCGATTTTGCCGACTGACTTCCACCAACTCCACAATTATGAATCTGAGAATTTAGTATAGAACACTATGAGTATAAAGAATACTCAGTAAGATACCATGTTTGGATTTTATCATGTTAATACTACACAAAAGAATGCAATCAAACACATACTTGCACATTTCGACTTGCCGGTACCCTTCGGACTTGTCCTAAGGCATAAATAGATATCTAACTATGTGGACTTGTCCACCAAATTCATATTATGATTTTTCATGCACAACTTAAGCATAAATATTACCATGAAATCATACCACTTAAGCATAGAAAGTATCTTACAATAAAACTTGAAGAAATCTTGGTTGAAAATGAATTAAGAAATGCTAGGCTGGTCCTCTTCTTCCCTCACGTTTTCTGCCCTTTTTTAAACAAGCGATAAGTTGTTTTTCATGCAAGAGAAATAAAGGGCAGCAACACATCTATTTATAGGTGAGAAAAATGATTAATTTTGGGTGACTCTTCAAGAAATTCAACATGTGTAGGCTGCATGGTTTCATTTTCTTAAATTCAAAACACCTCATACATTAGTTAACCATCTCATGCTTAAATTAAAACACCTCATGCATATATGTTTCATCAATTTTCGGCCAAATTGGAGAAACAATGTTTAACTTTAGTAATTAGGTGTAAAATGGGCATTTATCCCAAACCCTTAATTAACAAATTATTTGGAAAAACTTTTAATAAATCAACCAATGCAAAATTTGGCAACCATAAATAATTTTTTGGTCATACTAAATTTTGAAAAGTTAAATTGCTATTCTAAAAATTAAATGAGCCCAAAATTCGGAGTATTACATATCTCTTGTTGCAATACTATTTATATATGTATTGCTAAGCTTATTGCCAATAGAGTTAAAATGGTGCTTCCAAACATTGTTGGACCTGAACAAACTACTTTTGTTAAAGGTAGGCATATTAGTGATAATATCATTCTTTCTCAAGAGCTGTTGAGGAATTATCACCGCAGGGGAGGATTACCTAGGTGTGCTCTTAAAGTTGATCTCATAAAAGCATATTGTTTTGTTTGTTGGGATTTCTTCTTTGCAGTTTTTATGGTGCTTGGTTTTCCTGAGAGAGTTGTTAGGTGAATTACTGAGTGTGTCACTATCAATCGATTTTCAATTTCCATTAATGGAGAACTGCATGGATTCTTTGCTGGTGGGCGAGGTCTGAGACAAGGAGATCCTTTGTCACCCCACTTGTTTGTCTTAGCTATGGAGGTCTTTTCGGGGCTAATGGGATTGATGGTTGCTGAACAGGACTTTAAATACCACTGGAGATGTGAGAAGGAGAAGATCACCCACTTATGTTTTGCTGATGATCTTATGGTCTTTTGTAGAGCTGAGGTTGGTTCTGTCTCGATCATTGGGGAATGCCTTAATCGATTCAAAACTCTTTCTAGACTTATTCCTAATCCAGATAAGAGTAATTTATTTGCCAGTGGTGTTTCTACATATCTTAAGGATCAGTTGCTTGATATTTTGGGATATAAGGAGGGCGTGCTACCGGTACGTTATCTTGGTGTTCCGTTAATCTCTACCAAATTGAGGGCTTTGGATTGTAAGATGCTGGTGGACCGTATTATAGCTAGGGCTAAGAGTTGGACCTGTCGAGCGCTCTCCTATGCAGGGAGGTTACAACTTATTAAGTCAATGTTATTTTCTATTCAAGTCTACTGGTCTTCTGTATTTCTTTTACCTAAGGCTGTGATCAAACAAGTGGAAAATTCATTGCGGGCCTTCTTGTGGAAGGGTAGTGACCTTGGCGCCGGTGGGTCTAAAGTGGCTTGGGCAAAAATCTGTATGCCTAAAGAGGAGGGTGGTTTGGGTCTGCGGGGCTTGGAGATTTGGAATAAGGCTACCATGTTAAAGCATCTTTGGTCCCTTTGTTCGGATTGTGCCTCCTCTCTTTGGGTTTCGTGGACACGTTGTTATTTACTTAGAGGACGGAGCATTTGGGAATTGAAGTGTCATGGGATTGTTCTTGGAGTTGGAGGAAAATTCTTGGACTCCGGGATATAGGGAAGGACAAAATGAAAATCAGAATTGGGAATGGTAGACGTGCCTCGCTTTGGTATGATAATTGGCATCCTCTTGGCCCTTTAGAAAAGATTCTTGGAGAGAAGATCATTCGTGAATCCAGATTGAGTAGACTAGCTAAAGTGGCTGATATTGTGGAGGGTGACACTTGGAGATGGCCATCAGTTCGCTTCCCAGCTTTGTCTGATTTGATGTGAGTTACGCTTGATACTTTTCGGCCAGACAGTAATAGAGAGGATGTATTGCGATGGGAGGATGATACACATGGAGTCTTCTCTATTCGGAGTGCTTGGGAGTCTCTTCGACTTTGGGGTGACTTGGTATCACATTGTCTGATTCCCTAAATGTATTCCTAGACATGCATTTATCCTTTGGTTAGCAATTCAAGGTGGCATCTATACACAGACAAAGCTTCTTAGCTTTGGTTTGGTACAGTCTATGCGTTGTGTGCTATGTGGATGTTCAATGGAGGATCTGGATCATCTTTTCTTTGCTTGCCCATTTTCTGAGCGTGTTTGGAATGCTCTGCATGCGAAGTGTAACTTGCCTCGGGTCCAACGGAGTTGGCTAGACACTCTTTCTTGGATGGAACAATTTCGAGGGAGGTCAATGTCCTCCATTGTTATTCGGTTAATGTTTGCGGCTTTGATATATGCTATTTGATGTGAACGTAATGCTAGGACCCATGGAGAGGCTCCTGAAAATGAGTCTACTGTTATTCAAGATATTGTTTTTACTATTTGTGCACGAGTGAATTTGTGCAGGAGCTTGGTTCCATCTAATGAAAATAGATGGCTCCAATGCTCTTGGGGGTTTTCTACAGATATTTTTTTGTTCTCGTGATTAGAATATGAGCACTTTTCTAGAGTTTTGTTATTATTGTTAGGAAAGCATTAATTCTTAGCATTGTTTCTTGGGGTATACCTCTGTGATTTGTACTTATTTTTATACTTTGAATATAATATACTTACCTTATCCAAAAAAAAAAACTTTGTGCACTTATTCACTTTTAAAAAAATATAGGTTGATTCACATACATCTTATATAGTTCTCCATTATAAAATACAATTTTAACATTCACCTGATAAAGTTCTATATCTAAGCGAGCGACAATGGTTAAGATAAAGTAAATTGAGACAAACTCATCGTGAGAAGGTTTTTTCACAGTTTACACCCTCCACTTTAGGAATAACCTTTCGCCACGAGTCGGACCTTACACTTTTCTACCGATCTGCATTGCATTTGACTTTTGGAACTCATTTGTTACCAATAGTCTTCCACCAATCAAATCCCAATCATGAATTTTTCTAGACTTCATTTCTTCTATCGTTACACCTCCCATCAATCATATCCCAATCTTGATTTTGTTCTTAATGACAAAAATAAAGAGTTTTATTTTATAAAAGTTGGTTTATTTGTATCTTTTCGTACAAAATGGTTTCAACATAGACATATTTTTTGTGAAATTTGATTTCTCATTTAAAAAATGAACAATTAAATCAAGGAATGTAATATGTTTAACGAATATTTAATTAGCTTTAATAATTAACAATAAATTTTGTACTTATGAAGATTTGTTAATTATTTGTCAATCGCGTATGTAATAAAACGTTATATCATCTACATCGAATTCTCTAAAAAGTATATTTTACAAAAATATAATAAAGAAAAAAATCTATGGTTTAAATATTATGAAATTACAATTTCGAATTAGTTCAAAAAGGTAAAATAGAAAACATATATTTATTTTTGCTCGCCATGTGGAACCTCTTATAGACATAAATTTCATGGAGGTTTATTTAATTTTAAAAAGTTTAATTGTCATGAATTTCAGGGGATGTTCGTGTAAATTACTCTTTTATGCTAATGTAAATTAAGAATAATTTGTCTTTCTCATAAAAGTTAACTCTCTAACCCTCAAAATAAACAGGGGCGGATGTAGAGGAGTAACTGTGCACTCTGGATTCAAACCCGAGATTTAATCCCGAGTTGTGTAGCAGAGTTGAAGAAACGATGTGCTTTTGTAGATGTGGTCCCACCTCTATCACATTATTTGCAAGCATGATTATTTCATAGGGTCTTGCTACTTGTACATCGAATCTGATACCCCAACGTGGGCTCCCCTTTTGTGATAGAAGTGGGACCCTACCATTCAGGGACGATGTGACGCCCCTCTATTGGTTGATTGTTTGTTTGAGGGCTTCTTATTGGGGTCAAGAAGAATTCATTGGCCACTTGCCCTTTCTATTGGGATCCACGCGATCTAGCATCATGAAATTTTGATATTTTTGTTAGTATTTGAGCTCCATTTTTTTGTAAAAGAATGTATTTTGAATAGTAGATTGATGGAGAATGTGTGGTTAAAAATTAAGGAAAAATTTTGTGTTTGCATATAATATTATTTTATTGACAAATATGTGATTGAAAATAAGTTTGAAAAAAATGAATTTTTAGAATAATGAGGCTCAAATAAAGGCATAGCATACACAACATTAATACATAATAAATAATTGGAACTGGAATTTCTACGAAGGTTGTGGTAGCGTTTGGTTTGCGTTTCTATATTCTATTTTAAGTTTTGAATTCATTTTCTATTTTCTTTTTTTAAGAATTATTTTAAGATTGTAAAAAATGCGTTTGATTTGTCAATCTAAAAAATTATTTATCAAAACAAAAAACTAGAAAACAAGTTTGGTTCAAAAATTTTAGAAATAACTTTATGATATATTTTTTTAATTAATTTGATTATTTAGTAAAACATATCATTTTAT